TTTTTATTTGTGTTTCAAGTGGTTAGAAAAAAGGCTTCACAGCGTGTTGGCATGTGCGAGTGTATGTTTCCTTTCTCCATAAAATTTCTTCCATGGAAACCTTTCCCTCTGTACTACAGGAATGCCCACAAAAAAAAAAAGTCCACAATTGAATTGATACTGTACTCTTTACACTATTGTCGCGATTCTGTTTATGATGCATCATATGTTAGGGTTTGCCTCTAATAATTTAAAGTACTTAGATCTTTAGAAAAAGCAATCACCTAGAAAGCAGCTAGGCTCACTGCCTTAAGTCCCCTACATTTCTGACAACTTTGGACAATTGTCAGATAAGAAAGCTCTGATGAAGTAGGTCTTTCCACCTACATCTTTACTAAATATAAAACCTCAGCACATGATTAAAATTCTTAATAGATTTTGTTTAAATGATTGAGAAGTTTAGTTATCAGAAATTAAGCAAGCCATTAACAGATCTACAGTAAGAAGCTTTTATTTGATCTTATCAAGGGCAAATCCAGTTTCTCTTTATTTAAGCACAAGACACAACCTTGATCCTAACTGAAAGGTCATTGCAAAGGGAGCAACGGTATCAGTCGAGCTGTCAAGCTTGCGAGCATTGGTTTCAAGTCTAACGGCAACCGTTTCATGTGAAAAATCCATAGGCTAAGCCTGTAAGCAATCCAATTCTCCCAGGCTCCCAGCATAGCAGCACGTCACATTGACAGGAGCAAAATTGTCTTATTTTGGACTGAGCTTTCTATTAATAAAAACGTATGTATATTGCAGCCTCATATTTACCCAAAAAAAAAAAAACGTTATAGCCTAACGAGCAACCAAAGGCAGACATATTCTTCTTGGCAGCAACTTGCTCATGTTCACAAAGTAGAACTAGTGGTTCCATAAACATGGTTTGAGTACGACACTATACCGAGACATGTACCAACGTGCATGATATGCTGTCCCACCTTTTACCGAGTTTACACAGTTCCTTGTTTCTGTGAGTTTAGCTAGTTATTTTGAAACTTCTTGATGGAATTTTATTGTAAAAGAAAAGACCTATAATTGTGGTATAATCCCGAAAAAATGGAATCAAAAGGAAACTTCACTTGAAAAGGTTGCAAAACAGGAAAAAATGTATGCCAAAGAGTAGGAGACATCAATCATGGGTCCTAGACTTGAGTTGGGTGTTACCGAGAGCATGTATTTCGTTACTGGAAGCAAGTTATGGTGTGTTCGGAAAGGATGTAGAGTATCTATATTGTGGAAATGTGTGATTATGGCAGTTTTGGTTGGTAAGGAAAAACAGAATTTTTGAAGGAAAAGAAAAAATTGAGGAGTTTCTTTGAACAGAGCAATGTTTGTGGCTTTCCTTTGGGCTTGGACTACAAATGAGTTTAAGGATATGTCCTTTTATTTTCTTAGTATCAATTGGATAGCTGCATGTAACTAATGGACTTATCATGTTTTACAGAGATGTAATATTTTTTCTTTGATGTATTTTTCTTCTTTTTGAATTATCATGGGGTGGATTTCTTGGGCACCCCTTTTGTACAATCTTTTCAATTAATGAAAGTTTTGTTTCCTATCAAAAAAAAAATGATGGGGTCTAAACAGTTTGAATTGCAAATAGCATGCTACGCGCAAAAGATGTTTTTTTTAATTATTCACTATAGCCTATGATAAAATATTGAGCCTCTCTTTAAAAAGTGGACCATAAAATATTAAGTACTTATCATCTTTTGTGCTGATATTGTTAAGAGCTTGGCATCCATTGTTTCTCCTATTCTTTAACAGTTCAAGCTTCTTGGGCAATGGATAATCTATCATGTAATCAGTACTTTGGTTTCACAACGTCTAGAATTCTAGTCTCACCATATGTGTTTGTTTGCCCTTTCAATCAATCAATCCAGTATTCTCTCTTTGCTTGCATGTGTGTGAGAGGGTCGTGTGAAAAAGGTGTCAAGAGCTGGATATAAATTGTTTGTCCTATTGCTTAATCTTTTAAGGTTTTGGAGGGTTCATGGTCAAACAAATATAGCAATTTCCTATTAATAAAGCCAAATAAAAGCCAACTTACCCCGCCTCAGTGACATCATTGCGAAAAAGAACCCAGCCATGATCAGAGAAAAAGCCAGCGGAAAGGACTGCAAGAAAGTGGAGAATGAGATTATTGTGTGTAACATCGACTACATAAATAATTTATAACACAACTTCAGAGGCTTCTGTAATTAAATTTCCCTGGTAGACAATCAGAAAGGAACCGGTCTTTTATCTTTTCTTCTCTGTGCTACGTGCTACAACACAAAGCCTTTACCACTTAATTTTTTCCTCTAGAATTCCTCCCACACCTCAACACCAAAAGGAAAAATCTTGGGTTTTTTTGGTTGGGTTGGGTTTTTTTTTTTTTTTTTTTTTTTTTGGGGGGGGGGGACTTCCAGCATCGGTGCTCCACAGCTGGGATGACATTATAGAAACAGACACGCCAAGGTGAAACATACATGACATGTGCGACCACCTTTTCTGATAAGTGCATGGTATCTCCCAATAATGCTAGATTTTGTTTCATTTTACTCCCAAAAATGCTGGGTTTTGTTTCACTTTACTCTTGGATTTAACTGGGAAGTTGTTAGACGTGGTCTCTAATCCTTGCCAACAATCAACAAAATAGGTTTATGATCTTTTTGCAGGCAAGTCAGTCACTGTTAATATAATAGCATGAAGAGCTGGAAAGTGATAATCAGTGGTTGCCATAGTAGATAGTAACTGCAGCTGCTTCAGCAATATAAATGAAGTTATATGTCAAACTACCATAGGAGTGTCTGGTTGCCTGTTGAAACTTGATCAACCATGCACTACCCCAACTATGTATTATTTAGCTGTGTGAATCTTTTGTGTCTTGGATTCATGATCATAGATGTTGCTTAAGGTTCTACGCTAGCTGATGCAATGTGCCAAGCATGAAAAACAAAGCTCTAACCGAAAAGCTGGAAGCCTTGAATAAATAAGGTAAACACAATGCTGAAAACTTTGTATAAATAGAAGTAAACAAAATGCTGAAAGCTTTGAACATATAGTAATTCAAGTGTACTGTAACCAGTCAAAAGACAGAAGTAGACTATGTAATGTACATACTGCCAGATTAATTATTTGCACCAGAATGAGCAGGAGAGATACTGCTCGCAGAAATAATAATGGTTTGCATTATACTCACAGCGATAGCCTCTATGCCTCCTTTATGAGATGTAGCAGCCATATCTCGGGAGACAGAAACAATGTAATGTCCTTGCAGTAGATCAATTGCATCCTTCACACGTGTGACAGTCAGGAAAATGATTATCAGGATGAAAAACAGAAAACTTACAGAAGATTGAAATAAGATAAAGATAGCGAAGCTAGCACCTAGCAGTGAATGCAAAATCAGATGTCAAAAAAAATGATACCCAAACAAATCAACATTTGTTCAAAAATCAGAACGCATCGTGATGTAGGACAACTTTGTAAAATAAAAAATAGGGATTATTTAGAGGCCGTTCAGAGACTGTGAACAGGACTCGTGAACAGTAATGGGACTGTGAACAGTAGTGTGAATAGTAAATTTGGTTAGGAATCACTCCTAGGGTTCCGTAGGCATCACACCCAGGATTAGAATTGCATCACACAACTCAAGAAATATGTAATTGCTCAAAATTCTGAATATCTCTCTTCATCTATTATTAAAAGTAACACTTACTATATATAGAGTTCTAAGTATTCCTAATCCCAAAAGATTAGGATTCCAAAGTCTCTAGAACTTCAAAGACACTAGGTCCCTACAAATTAGAAAACTAAAATTAACTAAAACTAGGACTTTAAATTTTAGAATATTCAATACTAGAATTTGACCAAAAAATATGACTTAATCCAGAAATTCTGAAAATTACAAAAATATCCCCGACACTAAAAAATATTAAAAGGACATATAAAATATTAATACTAGCAAATTAACTTAAAATAAGAATGCAAGGTTCCATATGGATCTTTGTTTTGATAGAAAGTCAATTACATTATCTTTAACATCTTCGAATTTGTGTTTCCTTGAGCATCTTATGGATTGCATCACATCGTCTCTTCACATATAAGGATATAAAACATTTATCCCATGAAAATTCCAACAATTTGAAGACAACTGTCACAAATTGCTACATCATTTACTATAAATGCCTTTGCAATCGCACTTACTCACACACAAAGAAGGCCACAGAATGTATTCCAGAAAAATTATACTCACAACTACCTTCAAATATACTGGATAGATAATAACTGGCATGCTGGAAAGTGAATTTTACGGAAACCAAATTTTAACAATAAAAGTCAGAAGGTGAATTCTAAGCCCCAACAGCAAATGGGACCCAAAAAAGCTTTGCTAATCTACTACTTTGGTGCTACAATTTAACTTGCTAATATAAACAAACAGAAGAGGTATACCAACCTGTTTTGTACCATCACAAAAGTTATTTAGGTAATAGCGCATAAGGGCATTCCAGCCATCTTTAAGAATCCCTTGGATTGTGCGCTGGCCACATCTACAAATCCTCCAAACATGAGAATCATACAAAAAACTAACATTTCCAGAACAGCTTTTAGACCATCATAAATTCCTTGCACTGATACTATTTAAGGCTCATAAAAAATAGATCATGCTTCAGTTTTGACCACAGCCTGTACTACAGTGGTTTGCGAATCAGCAACGGCTGTAACTAACACAAGGCCTTGAAATTTGGAAAAAAAAAAAAACTTTACACATTCTGGACAGAGCATATTGATCCAGCTGCCACAACAGTTATCTACTGATTGGCGGGAGGTCCACGGTCTGATACCAAACATGACAATACTTGCATAACATAGTTTGAGGAAAAACGGAAGAACAAAGAAATAAAAACTGTTGTAGATAATGGAAAAGCTAAACCCAAGGGCTAACTAAGATTACCAGTGACCCACTTTAAGAGCTGTAGGGCCTAAGAATGGATCTCCCCCAGGAACCATCCCCGGGGAATTACCCAGTCCATATGGGATGTGGGGTGCAAACACATGAGCCCGGAAAAAATAAAAGCTGCTGTAAAGAATCAACTTACAGAGAAAATAACACCGAGGGGTAACTACGATTACTAAGGACCCACTTTAAGAGATGTATCCAAAGTTTGGAACTCCCGTTGGAACCATCCTCACGGGAATTACCCAGTGCATACCGTAATGTGGGATAGGATGGGAATACAGGTGTCCAAGAGGATTAAGTGGGTTCTAAGAACCTGATAACCCCTTGTTAGTGGCAATAATAATAAAAAATAAATAATAGTAATAATTGCAAATCATTTCATGAGCTTCAATCGAGCAACATATTCCCACGTTAAGCAAAAAAAGCATAAGCACCAATATCGCATGGACCCAATGTTATAGAAAATGCGTGGAAAAATTACCTGACAAAATCTCCTTTCAAAGCAGGGGTACCAGAGTACTGAATGCTTATCTCATCCCCATGATTAGCCCACACTGGAAATATAAAATAAATGAGAAGGTAGAAAGGCTAAACCCAAACAATCTAGGAAACTTCCACCTTCTAGGAAAACATAACAGCCCAATAACAATGAAAGAAGCATAAACAAATTAGTGAAGGCAGATAATGGTGAAAGTACTCACAAATTTTGAAGCTTTCATCAAAATTTGGATGCGTGCCAATAGTTTCTTCAGCTTCAAAAATACCAAGCCTTCTAAGTTGAAACTCTAACATTTTTCGACCAATCATGCTCTGCATCCATAGCTCATAGTCATCATAATGAACAAAAAGATTCGACAGTGTCTGCATCCATCTGAAAACATTCACACCAAATCTGCCTACAGAAATTTTTTTGGTACAAATAACAATAAATCAACCATCCTACTCATCAATTTTTTTACTATTATTCGCAATGAGTGCCCCTAAGAAAACAATATCTGCGTAAAAAGATATAAAACCAAATAAATACATGGATTGTCTTTGCCGCCTTGAACAGATCTATGACTTAAACCATTTCCAAGGGTTGACAAATTCGTTACACCAAAAGTAATATCCTAATTTATTTAGGTCTTAATTTTGTTTCATAAAGACCTTGCCATGGAATTTCTCAGATCTTCCCAAAGTTTAGCAACAAAACACAAACCATGGAATGAATACAATAGTGATTCTTTGTGAAACTTGAGAGATTAGTAAGATTCTCAATGTAAAACGAAGAAAAAAATCCATAGATGGTATCCAACATTGCAATACAAAGGAACAACACTACTACCAAAATGTCTGCAATTACCGGCTACAATCCCTCTGATTGAAAATACACATACCTGGGTGACATTTGTACGGTCTAAGCAATCAATACAATTGGTCCTTACAACTCCAAGTTGCCCCTCAACTTTCTCACCTTTTTCATTTAACAACAGGTACCTATAATCAAGACATATGACGAAAGACATACAGGAATGAGTATAAAATCACGATTAATATATAAATGAAGGTGAACCATTGCTTACACAAAATGATCATTGAATCAATACTATTTAAATCAGTCAAAGAACAAAAAAAATTAACGAGTCAAAATCTGTAAAAATAAAGGAAATTCATATCTTAGACGAAGCAGTTAAACACTTAAACAAGCCACCCATGTGACATGCATGCACAGAATTGACAATTAGTATTTAATTACGAGTAATTATATGAGACCTAAACCTGAACGATGAATATTTTACTAGTCAGAGATAATTTTATAAAAAATAATTATAGGGCGAATTGTGTTATTTAAAATGTGAAAAGTTAAATACAAACATTAACATGTGATATGACTTTATTATTTTATGTATGTCAACGTATGTGGAATTGATTGAATGACAAGCATGTAACATCAATTTATTGCTATATAAAAAATAAAATGTGTTAGTATGTATAAAGAGTGGTTAAGGCTTCGAAATACGAATTTAATGGTTTATAAATATTTTTAGATATATATATCTATATTACTTATAAATGTTAGCATCTACGAAAAATTTTTAATTTTCAATTTGATCCTTACTTATTATAATAAAGTTAATTATATCCTCCTATATATTTTTATCTAATTTTTATTTTTTCAAACCTATTTGACTTTTAACTTGTTTTGAACTCTTTTATAAGAACTTATAAATTTTTTTGAACTCATTTATTTAGTAGTTAAGTTACATATAATTATTTATATCTATATGAAGATGCAAAGCTCTGTACGGTTAAATATATGTTATATTTAATTTTTTGGTATTTAATAATATAACAATATTATAAGTGATTTAATCAATCTATTTCACAAAATAAAAATTAATAATTCTATAATATATAATTAGATGTGCAAATGTCTAAAGGGGTTGGAGAGATACTTAAATAAATAACAGATTTGATACTCAAAAACTTATAGAATAAATTAATAATTAAATTTAACAATAATTAAAATACGGATTAATTATTCGACACCTAATTTATTATTTAATTTAATTACAACATAATTCATATTTTCTATAAAAATAATATTTTTTAAATTTCTTTATATGCAATACACATCGTGCATTGCTAGTATCTAGATATGTCTATGTATAAACATGCATACAAGGAAAAGTAGGTACATAAATATAAGTGTATATATATATGTATATAATAACTGTGTAAGAAACACATGTATGTGCATATATAAACTCGGGAATATATATATATATATAAGTGTATAAAAAATATAAGGTAATGATGGGGGATTCCACTTAGCAAGACATGTCTTGCATGCAAAAAAATAAATCAAGGGTGGGGATTTGGAGGAATGTATGTACACTAACCTTTGTTTTTGTCAACATATAAATGTTTGATTGTTTGTGTAATCAGCTATTTTATGAGTTTTATTCTGAACAAATGGCTTAAGTGTCGTAGTGTTACGTTGGGAATAAAATGCCTTTGTGACGAATATAATACTATGGTTCTAGTTGTCAGTATGACACACATAAAAAGAAGCTATATGGTCGTGACGTTTAAGCGTCAGATGTCTAAGTGACACATTTTATTTGCACAGTCAAAACGTCTAAGAGACGAAAAACTAGTTATCAGAATGGGTTGTCTACCCAAGCGTTCAAGTTTGTCTTCATGATTGAGATAAGTTAAAATTGATTTCGTCTAGATGATGAGAGCTGAATTTATTGATATGTTGTAAGTCGTTCGAAAAACAAAAAAAAAAAAGGGAATACAAGTTACTGAGTTGTCTGAGTAACGATCGTATATCGATATAATGATTAAATTGTGCTGTATTTTGTCGCCTGAGTGGCAGGACGGTTATCTCTGTGTAACAGCAACAACGGAACAGAATATCGATAATAAGTTATGTTTACTTTTAGTAAGACCACTTTTTTAGGAAGCAAAATTTGATTATATAGGCATGGTTATTTACAAGACAAACACTAGCTTCTATATGTTCTTAGCCTAAACATATAGAAGAAGCAACCTTCTATCTAGCATCTGTACCAGTAGTGGAGTGGCTTGCTACTTTCAATCAGAATGGAAGATTGAGCAAGGCAAAGGAGAAAGAAGTTGTCCTCTCTTCTTTGGTAACCCGCCACCGCATATGTAGAAAAAAAGGGGAGTGGGGAAGGAAGAACAACCCTTTGACTTTGGCAAATCAGATGGCGGGTTTGACTAGGTAACATAATGGAAATTTATTGGACGGCAAATCCTGGAATGACGGTTTGACCCCGTCCTTGGCCTCGAGGAGTGGTGAGCAGCATGAAACTTGTTGCAAATTTTAAAATTCCACTAATGAGTAAGGACGTTACATTATTATCTTTGCTTTATTTTTTAAAATCTAGAATGAGAACTCACTAAAAAATTTCTTTGAAATCATTTTCAGAAAATTGTACACAAGCCTGCAATCCACTGCCAAAAAAGTTGTCAGAAAAGGCTCGTGTCAGTTTCTTGTTTTTTTTAAAGAAAAACCTTTTGGCTATACATGATGTAAATATTTTTGTTCATTCCCTTTTAGCGTGTAAGCAACACTAGTAAACATTTTTGGGTTATGTATATACTATATGATAGCAAACCGGTGTACCGCGCGCGTAAGACTTATTTTAAAAAATGATCCTATTATAAATATTTCCAAGATGAGTTTTCTTCTAATACAAAGTTTTTAATTTAGAGCGGGATTGCCTAAATTTTATTTTATTTTTATTAATAGTGTAATGTGATTAGGATGTTACATCATTAGTCAGTTTCTTAGCTAAAGAGTCCATGGTTCCCTTCATACAAAGGGTATGAGAGAAAAAAATCAACTCACCTACGATATCAAACTTACGAGTAACTGAACTTATCTTCTCTCTAGTCAAATAGGAATCCCTATCAGTTCATAGTTTTGACATAAGAGAGAGCAAATTTATATTCCAGAATGAACTGCCTACTGCAGCCAACCCCTTCTCTTTTCCACCCCTTCTCCATCATAAGCATGAAAATTTACAACACTTGAACTGGAGAACCAACACCTATAAATACCCTTTTATGTAAACATGCAGTTGTCCTCATCATTGTAAAGTAAGACACATAGCATAAATTAGATTTTGGACAAGAAATATGATTGCACATTTTTGTAAATGGATGCTCTGAAGACACTCTGAACCTTACTGTCTCCACAGCGTAAATATCTCATGCTGGCTCTGGCTCTCACTCTCACTCTTGCTTACAATCTATGTTCTGATAATCTCGCAACTGACCAGAACTAGTCAGATTGGACAGCTGTACATCAGGTGTGTAATTACTAATAAGGGTGCTAATTTTTTGCACTGTGCTCATACGAACACCTTGTATTTGTATCAGATACACACACCCAAATCCAGTTCCGAAATTGCATTGCAGTTTTTGGTAATTGTTCTTTTGAACATTGAATATCTAAGTACAATTTACTCTTGACATCAACACCTTTGCCTGTACCTTTATTACCAAATATACCAAGATACATGACAGTATGTTCTGCAACTTTATTAAGGAGTCAGAGATAATATGTCCAGCTGATCTATCAAGTGTAACCCATTCCAAATAAACAGCATACGGGCAAACTGTCTATGGTCTATATCAAATTTCTTGGCATGATACACCGACAATAAGTAAAATGCTAATTATGTCCCATGATTAGAGAACAAAACTATCTTGACACCACCTAACAAAGTTGTTTCCATTTGAGAAGAAAACATACCTATTTTTTATGAGGAAATCCTCAATTTGATCATAAAGGATGGAGAGGCGCTCAAAATGAACGTGACCACAAATCCGATGAAAATCAAAGTGCAGATACCTACAATCATCAATAGTTATTAGCACAGACTGAAAGAAGTATGGCATGTCTCAAATGATAAAAAAGGACGAGTGAAAGGATATCCCACCTTACATCATCACCAACAACATGCTGCATTGCATTGGAAAACTGTTCGCATAAGCGTCCCTCACCTCCATGCTGATGGAAAAGATAGAAAGGCCAAGGAACTAGTAAATCAAATTGAATAGCAGATGCACACCCGCATACCGGAGAAAGAGAGCCTTTGACATACCAAGATACCATTATTCCAGGCAGAAAAAATAATAAATGCTCAAATACCGCACACCCACAATCCCACCATCCACCTGGTGACATTCATGAGAGCAAACTGACCTAGCACTGATTCGTATGTCTTTCAGTGTTCCCATACATAGAACTGGTTAGATAAATTTTCCTTTTGCAGTTCTGCTTTACTATAAGAATGGATCAAATGTCACCACACAGATTCAATAGCCTCAATCATCTAGGTCATCCCTTTGATTTGTGATGCCTACAACTCCAACTATACCACCCTCCAATTGATGAATCTACGTATCATTCCTCAATACATGTACAATATCCACACCTCTACAACTCCACTCAACAAAGCTTTATCCCAACTACAATCTCCACAACCATTCCAAGAGATATTTGACTATGAAAACCAGAAAGTTCAGACAACCATTGACATAAGTAATATTAAGAAATGTAACAGTGATTTCTTTCATTTTTTTTTTTTTGATAAGAATTTCTTTCATAAAATTTTTAATTCCTTTAATAAACATGTTTAAACATTTATCAATATTATAGAGAAGATTCTTCTAATATTTTTTTGATAAGAAGATTCTTATAATAATAACATGTTTACAGGAAAGGTTTCATCAAGTGCTTTGGAACAGAGTCACAATGGGATAACAAATGAGTACCTTGTTGACAAGATCAGCAGCTAAAACATTTCCATATTTTTTCCTTAGATCCAAGAAGTGCCGCTCAACTACTTGAGGCTGTAGAAAGTGTTGTAAAATAGCAGCATCAATTAAGAGACAAAATCCAGAAAAAGAAAAGGTGTTATAAACGGACACCTTTTGTCAGGGCAGAGAACAATGACACTCACTGCTTCCTCAAGTCTCACAATCTCAAACTTAGGCTTATATTTCAAATCAACAATTTGATCCCACAGCAATGGAATTGACCCTCGAACCTACAAAAGGAAATCTAAAGAATAAACCACATATACCAAATGTATAGAATCAATATACATGTATACAACATAAGCTGTCAATCGATAAGCTGTAAGAAAAATGTAAGAATTTACTCAACATTTACGAAGAAGGTTACTTGCATTTAAAGACACAAACTTGGGAGAAAACATACACTCTGTGGATAAAAAAGAAATCATTTGAGAGGATCGGGTTAATGGCCAAACAGTTCTTCAAGTTATGGTTGCTCTGGGTAAAAATTTCAAACAGATTAAATATCAATTGAACAGCTTAAAGTGGTTTTGCTTAGACCCACGGAGTGATACCACACCCATCAATATGTTCCTCACGAATTTATCATTTGGCCTTGGTCAGATATAATACTAGGCATCAAATCATGCAGTCTTCAAATCCACCATTAATTACGAAAATCTGCCAGACAGTATCCAAGTTGGGAAATTCCATTGCAAGCTCCTACATCAATCTATAGAAAAAAACTTCCCTATTCTTAAGTTTTGGAATATACATATCCTTATTCAGTAGCAGTAGCTTGGAGATGCTATTGACAAATGATTATGGGATAGGAAGAAAACCGAAATTCACATCCACACCAAGTGCATGACACACGTTGATAATCTCCATTTCCATCATGATAGTTTTATTCCATCAGGAGCTACAGCCTCTAGTATTGAAGCTTCTGCAAGGCCCGCCCTGCCTCTAGTAGTCTAATGTGAACCTATTAAGACCCTACTGTTCAAAAAAAAAAAAAAAAACCTATTAAGACCTGACATCGGAAAGCATAAAGCTAAAATAAATGCAAAGCCGTGTAGCTTTACATTGTAAAAAAGTTGTTTCGGAGGAATAAATCAAAAGCAATTTTGGAAGAATATCTTTCTCATTATGTATGGAGAAGCCAGCCTCCTCTTTTTATCAGCAAGTGGTCTCCATTTTCAGATACATTGCTAACTGCATATCTTGAACACATTACTATGTCTAACATAACTGAGATATTGATAGGGTGGATTTCTTGCCCACACTCTGTACAACTTTTTAATATTTAACAAAAAGTTCTGTTTTTTATCAACAAATAATTGATTTTGTTAACGAAGAAAGTTTGACCATGGTACTCTCAGTTTTTTATCATTAATCAGCCACCAGTGTGATCCCCATGGGGCGCGACACTTATTTTTACTACTATGCTTTACTCAAACTATACCAGCTCAATGGTTAGTTTTAAACTTTTAAGGCATCTCAATGACAAAATTCAAAAGCTCCATTGGACATCTAAAACTGGCTTCTCGCGTTTAATGCATCTCCCAAAAATGGGTGAAGTGAACACTTAACAGGAAAAAAAGAATGAGCTGAAACAAACGATCAATATGATAATTGCACGTAAAAAAATAGAAAAACAATAATATGAAATTATTACTTGCAGAAATGACGCTGTATATCCATTCAGCTGAACGATTTGTTCACTTTCTACAAAATTTGCCACATAGCCATCAGAGTCAGCTCCTCTCCTCCACATCCGAGTGCCTTTCAGGAAGCATAACATTACAATCAACTCAATTAGCAAATCAAAACTTATACTACATTATCTAACTTGATTTCCAAAGATCTGTGGGATATCCAAAAAATGTTTAAAGCCAAATGCAGATTTGATCCTAAGAAAACCATTATCGAATGGATGCTACCAATACAGAGTAGGCAACAGTGTTGGCAAAATGGTAATACATCTGGAAGCACATAATCCAATCAAGTCATAACCAAAAGATAATGAAAGTTAACAAGGCCTTTGGAGATAATGGAACACCAGAAATGAATCAGTAAATCAAACAAGAGTGTTGGAATGTTCCCAGCCTGAACACAGAGGTACAATCAAAAAGTAGACAATGGCAACAAGATGAACTATGACAATAGAAATGACTTCATGAAAACAGAATGCTGGGATATATTAAATGATCTTGACATTTTGATTAGTATCTTGTAGAACTTGGTGAAATTGCAATTTTTTTCTTGTTATTCCCTGCTCCATATAAAAGAATCTCTTCCTTTATGTTTGTTGACCTTTCATCTTTATTAAAAGATATAATCACCTCATAAGCATAATACCAACCGGCCACATGGGAGTGGGTTGGTGATGGATATGCAAAACAATAAATAGTTGTGATTGAGTTACCCAATACCAGTTCTCCGAGTGCATCTCCGCGCAATCAGCATAACATCAATAATATCTTTCCCAATGGCCGCTTGAAAGTTCTGAAAACTTGATAATCAGTTAAGGTGTAACTTCAAACCATAAGACAATGCATATCCTTATCATGTACATGGTGAACAAGATCAGCCAAAAATCAAACAACCATAGCTATGCAAAAGCCACATATAGCTAAAACCAACACCAGAAAAGGATATTTCCTTGAACAACAGGAAGTAAGTATGGATCAAGCTGCATGCATAGGAGACCATAATCAGTACGTAATATTCATGAGACGTTCTTGAGAAAATCGCACGTAACTAAACTATATTTTGGTAACAATTTGACCTTATTATCTATGAGCACTTCCAACATATAGTTGTTCCAGAGAAACCGGGGGTCTGCCTGCAGCAAAAACATTTTGTATTCATGACGACATAAGCATATAAGGGTGACTTCCATAACCCTTTATTTTTGTATATGTATATATATATACACACACACAAACACAAAGGTATTCTCAATTTAGAAGCAGCTATTCTATTGGCAATACCACAAATCCAATGAGAAAATCATTACCTGCCTCCAAAGAGGTAGCAGCTTTGATTCATCTCCCAAATCATGCAATCGTTGTGCACTGCAAGATACAAAAATAAGGTATTGCATCAAACCAATTTCATAATAATTGTCGTCCAGCATTACATAAATCAGTGTTTCAGCAAAAATTTCTTGGTTGAGTCCTTTTAGTACTACGAGTTGAAACGTATTAAATCACGATTGTCTAAAATAGATCAACAAACTTCTGTCCCTAAAAGTTTTGGAAATTTGACATCTCCACACATACAGTTTTCAATAGATATCAACAAACTTCAGTCCCTAAAAAGTTTGGAAAGTTGACATCTCCACACATACAATTTTCAATAGAGAGCATAAAAAAATTAGAAACAACTGATTCTAAAGATACATGCTGGCTTTCAGCTCCCACAAACACAGTTTCAAAACCTAAAGCAAAACTTTTTGCCCTATATCACTAGCTATAAACGTCTATAAACATTCTTCAGCACAAGTGCATGTGGTATGCATTTACTCTGATATCTTTCAAAAACTTAGCATCTCATCATATTTGAATATACACAGGGATCCAACTATAAGATCACAAAACACTTGAGACTAATTCGAAATCAAAATGAGCAAGAATATCAAGGTGAATGGAGAAAGTGTCTGGAATATTGTTTCAAAAAAAAAAAATACTTAATCTATAGACAGATCCTCACCAAATTCACCTAAAGCACCAATTATTAGTAAATGATGCAAAGCGGCAGTACTCCAATCAACCACATTACAACACTAAGCTGCTTACCATAAACCTTACCAGATATTACAAATCTTCAGCAGTTCCCTGTAGTAAGTAGAACCAAACCACCAACATTGCATAATGTCCTTTGGCCCTCAAATGGTCTATCAATCAAGTTTAAACATGACAAGGTGGCAAGCCACACTTTCACCAAAATAAAATCCCATTACTTGCTAGTATTGGCTCCTAATTCCATGATTTTCATAGAGCTTTCTTCACTAGAAAATTATTTTCATTGTTGTCAAAAAAGAAAAATAAGGCTTGAATTTTCAACAAAAATTCTTAGATAATATCCAGAACATGTGACAATCAATGACACTTACAATTGACATACCCAGCGACTACGGTTGGTGCAATTAGTGAAAAAGTTTATGCCCTCCACTGACTCAAACACCACCCCTCCCACCCCCATAAAAAAGACAGACACACAGAGAGAGGCAAGAAAAAATACGGACTCAACTCCTTGGAAACCGAAGATATGCAGTCAGACGCACAGGCAATTAGCAAAATATAGATCATTCAACCCAGCAAAAGCAAGAAGTAGGAAAACAATTGTTTCTAGTGATAAAAGAGCTTTTATGTTAGGTAACCTCAAGTTTGGGGGTTGCTTAAGGTCTCTAAGCTATCATTATAGGCTTTCCAGTCAAAAACATTTCTCATCTTTTGCTGCCTCTCCAGCACCAAGATCATAACATGGTGATAAGCCACAATAACCAGGAATATATTTGACTAGAAGGGCAGCATGCTTAGGCCAAATCAACATGTGTTGTAATGCCTTCTGAGCTATCAAATTCCCAAAATCAAAAGATCCAAGCCAACCTTTTTGTGTCTCTAATAGATCCTACCAACCCATCATTTGGAAGGGCTCTCCACAGTTGAATTTTGGGCACAATGCTGTGGTGGCCTTTCAACTAACAGCTAACTAGCTAAATTCCTAGAGTGCCCCTCTGTGATAACAAAAACGAGCAAACACAATGAATCTGGGTAGAGCAATCCACCTCAATGTTATATTGACATCATATGAGAAATAAAGGCCAGGAGTCCTCTCTGCTACATTTAGCAGCCTAGAAAATTCATTCTCCATCCTTTTCTGCAAAACAAGGATGCAACATTCAAAACAGCAAACACTTAGGAAAGCAAAAAAAAACAGCAAACTACAGCGTTTAACCTGTTCATCAGGAGAGTTCTTGAGAGAATGATCACAAGGAAAAATTTTCAAGGATGAAACTTTGAAGATAGGATGCCCTAGGTACGATCCGACACATTCGCGTTCTGCTACAACTATTAAATACGACCCTGCAAGCACAATAAACATATAATTACATCTGGAGTGATGCCACTTGAAAGTAAAGTGCTAACGGAACTACACAGTGAATAAGAATTTCAGATTCAACAAGACTGTAAGGGTCTCTAGGCTGACTTTATCAACAGGCATGAATTCACTACATTATATAGGTGTCGCATTTTTGCATTTTTATGTCATTTATTTTTTATTTCATGATGTTATATCCCTTTCTTTAAAGCTGCTCAGAAGATGGATTCTGGACGATCAGATTTGCGTGCATATGTAAAGATCATCATAAGAAAGCTTTGTATCATGAGCAAGTATCTTAAAGTCAAGGTCTTCAATTTCTAGTTATTTAGCTGATCAAAGTTCAACTCAATAACATGTCCACATATAGTTCTGCATCTTCTCATCTTCAACTTTTCCATTTCGAAGTGCAAGTCCTATTCACTGAAAATATTTAGAGTTGATCATGCTCATAGTTGGTGAAACCTTATATAGATCTTGGTGAATGGGTCCTGATAAGCTATCATCAACGTCTCTTTAAAAATTCCAAATTGTTAGTTGTTTCATAAATGTTTCCATAAATTTGATTCATAAGCACTTTCAGTGCCAACAAGACAAGACATTTAATAACTAATATATTCCTTTATGAAGTGAATTTTCTACAAGGAGCCTAATAAATTGTTTCTTTCAAGTATTGGGTGTCCTTTTTATCATCGATCCAATGATGCATTCACAGAAACCCTGTGACGCAGTACAGAGCCTCAAACAGGATCTTAAGGCTGTCCTACGATCAAGTTGGTGAGCTTGGGTTTCGACTTTAGAATTTGTTGATGAGAAGTTGGAATCAGGACTTCAAGAGAAATTTAGAATTGATTTGGTTGTGATAGAAGCTGACTTTGGTCTGGAAAAGAAGAATCCTGGGGGCAGGATTTTCCGGGCAGCAAGGCAACAACCAAGGGTTTAGGATAAAAGTTGGGTATGTACGGTAAGGATTTTTGTGTCAATTATTTGTGGCTGTAATTGCTTGCAGCAATTCCGGAATTAAAATTACATCAAAAAAACTTTAGAGAGCCTCACGAGACTAAGGACTTCCTAAACTAACATAAACTTAACTAATCCAAAACAAGAAAAGGACTACACAAGACCGACTATAAGTTGCAATCCCAAAAGTATACCTACTGTGTTATTTCATCAAAGTATCCTTGACTTCAAATTTCTGAATCCTCTAGCTTAGAGTGTATCGAGTGACTCCAACGGTGGAACCCATCGGTCCACTGAAAGAGGTCGCATGGGTTTTTCTCTTTGTTCCTTTTCCAAGCATAGTCTTTAAGGGTTTGATTTCCCATTGACATGATTCTAAGAGTTTAAAACCAAGATGTCTTCTATAAAAACCTTTCCAATTTAACACTCATTTTTATTTTAAAAATTAAATCAAATTCAAAAACATTATCTGATATTATTTTCTATCAATCCACATCTTTTAAACTATTACACAGCTAATGTTGTAACCAAGGATCAAAATGTCGTGTCGACACATCCGAAACGTTTTGAAATTTCAACACTCCGAAACGAAACAGTAGTTGAATCACAAAATTCCAGTGTTTCGGTCGAAACGGTACTGTTTCGGACCGTTTTGGTCGAAACAGCATTGTTTCGGGCCGTTTCGATCGAAACAGTGATATATTCAGTTCATTATGAATAATTCATTATGAATAATTACATTTAATACCCCATTATAATTACATTTAATACCCACTGTAATTACATTTAATACTCACTATAATTATATTTAATATCCCACTATAATTACATTTAATTCCAACTGCTCTTCTATCTTTTATAATTTTTTTGTTATAAGAATAAATAATTAAACTTAATACCCTACTATAATTATATTTAATACTCATTATAATTATATTTAATACCTACTGTAATTATATTTAATACCTTACTGCTGTGCAAGTTTTTTGCTTTTTTTTTTGTTATAAGTATTAACAATTACATTTAATACCCTAATGTAATTATATTTAATACTCACTGCAATTACATTTAATACCCATTGTAATTACATTTAATTTTTAAGTATACATAAGTATCATTAATTTAATTTGATACCCTTCATTATTAGTATTATAATAAAATAGTATTATTAATTGGATAATATTACCGTAATAATATGATTTGGAGTAACTATTGTCATCATATTTATGTCACATATGGAGTTTCTCTAAGTAGCTACCCAGAGCTTACACCGATGTATGAGCCTGCTCGACACTCCACAGGGGGGTGGATGTAACTATGTAAGTATGTACTCATTAGCATTTCATGTGTATTATAAGACCTTAATATTATGTAAAAATGTGTTTATTTCATAAAAATTAAGTGTTTGAAACTAATTTAAGTGACTTTTGCCTCATGTCAAGCCTTTTTTTCCCTCAAATTTAAATTTATTCTTGTATAAATTGATGTTAACCTAATAAATATATTGAATTAATCAATTATTTAGCATATCTTTATAAATTAATGGATTGTATTTGTGTTTCTATGCGTTTCCATATTTTTTCTGCGTTTCCATTGCGTTTCCGAAATGTTTCCGAAACGTTTCTATTTTTGAGTTGACCGAAACGGTACTTCGAAACGAAATTTTGATCCTTGGTTGTAACCCAGAAACATGCAGAACCCATAGCCTGGAAACAAATACCACCAATTCAACACCCACTATTACCGTATCTCTGGGTCAAGGTAATCCTTAAGTTGATATATTTGCATTATTATTCAGTTCATAAGCACAAAAAATTGTATAAAGTCACTTTTCAATATATAAGATCAAGTTAGCACAAATGAATATTATAAGGTGTGGATACCACAAGTCCAGTCAAATAGCAACTAATATACTACTTCAACACTTCAAAGTCATGGATCTACAACAATAGCAAAAAACATTGTGGGTGCTTAATTATAATCTTGCCTGCCAAAAGCTTCAGCATCCCAATCACACCAAAGATTGTCTGAATTTTAGGAACACGAACAGCGCTGCACTGTGGAATGTCATCTAGAGAACGCAAGATACGTCTAGCATCAATCCAACAAGCAAACATAGAAAATACCAAAACCAATAGTCTACAATCATGTCAAACAAGTAGTAAGATTAAGCAACCAACCAATAAATTTTGTTGACCCCTCCACCCGGCTGATTGCCAAACAGGGACCAGAAGATCCATCAGTGGGCTCAATTACATATTGATCTGGAAATTCCCAGAGCCGCATTCTTGTGTATAGCTTCTGCGCCGGATCTGCCTTCTCCATCATTATTGAGATTAATCTCTATTGACACAATTACCCAAAATACCCAATCAGTTTCTCCAGTATTAGAGAGAAAATAAAATGATGTTATGTCAAGCATGTCAACGTAGAATATAATAATGAATAAAGAGACACGACTGATATTACTGTGTTTTAGGTTCTTTAAACCTAAATTCAAATGACACTCTTCTTTTGAGCCAAGAAAAGAGATAAACGGTAAACACAACCAGAGCTTTCATCCTAAAATACAGACCCTTGCGCCTATAAACAAATTACAAGGTGCTTGAATTGCCAAAATTTATAACAAACAATAATACACGTAAAAAATGAGGAATGGATAGGCAAAGAAAAAATTCACTCAAACTCATATATCTCTCACCAGAAACAATACACAAACTGCTGTTGTTGTTCAATTATTTTTTTATTGTTTGTGTTTTAGCCCATTTTCTTCTTCCTCATCCCTTGTCAAAAATATAAAATCATAAACTCCTTTTTCCATTGAATGTTTCTTATGTATGAACTATCCATCTCACTATTCGGTTTCTGAACCAAATAACCAATTGGAAGGTCACATGACGCGTATACTTTCACCCTTTATTATCCAATTCTAACAAATTCGACTTTTATTATGACCTATACCCGATCTATCTCTCCCAGAACGCAACAAATGTCACTTTCACTCACGGATTGCAGAATCTATGCAATCAATTATTCACATAGCTTGCCAACACTAGTTTAGTTGTAGCACTCTAGAGAAGGAGAGAGAGACATAATACTAAATCAGGTTGTTGTATCTACACATACATAGATTGCTTAGCGGAGGGAATCATTACCTGGTCTGAGTAATGGATTCAAAAAGAACGAGATCCAAATTGCAGAGTCTGTGACGAATCTGAAATCGATCTTGAAAAAAGATCGAAGCCGGAAGAGCAGAAATGGCGTGATTTTGCTGGTGTGTGTCTTTTGCGAAATCGAATCACCCGAGCAAGGAAAGGAAACGAACGAGTCAAACGGAAATTTGGGCGAACCAGACGGAGCCTTGGGCGGAAAAATCAAATTGAATTGAACATTGCAGGTGCTTGTTATTAATGGAGCCGGATAACTTGATCACATCTTGAACTCTAAATTACAAAGTCATCCAAAAAAAAAATATTAATTACATTCCGACCCCAAAAATTTGTCACTAAATTGCATAGATCCCTCAGATATGATAATTTACATTTCAACCTCATCTCATTAGCATCATGAAGACTGAAATAACAGAAGTATCAAAAAGACTACCGACTGCCGAGACAACATATACAAATTGCTAAACAATCTTATCTTAGGTATTAAACAACCTTCAAATTTCATATAATAAATCTACCTCTCTTTCTCTCTCCTATTAACAATTTAAAATCACGTCGACTTTGTCCTATCCTACCACCAAAACTCTCAACCCGACCACCTAAGTCACATTCACCTCCAAACCTAGCTCTCCCACACCTCCTAAGCTTGCAACCCCACTCTCAAAAATCATCATAATCACCGTCACCCAAAAATTGTCATAATTTTTCTCATTAAAACATATGTTAAAATGATATAATTTTAATGATCTTTTAAATTAACCATACCGGCACACGCTCTACAAACTTCATAGATCCGTGACAAATAAGCGATGAACAAAATTATCTGATCAATAGCTGATTTTCGAACACGAACTCAAACTTGTAATTACAGTACTACATATAAGCACTAATGCCCAAAGTTAAAGCATGGATGACTCTACGCATTAAAAGTATCCATTTCTTACTAGCTTCAATCATCTGCTATGGCGTGTTGGTTGGTTAATGAATCATCACTGTCAACCCCAAATTTATACCATTAGAGTGTGTTTGTTTGCCAGATATAAGTGGTAAATTAGTACGTGGGATCCACTTATTCTTTGTTTTGCAATTTAAACCTAATACTATTTTTTTCAGTCCTTTTTTTCAACTTGGTTGCTATACTAGCAATATAATTAACCATGTACATGCGTATATTCAATACCACATAATAGGTCGGGTATTATTCCCACCAATGGTAGAAATGCTAGCACCAGAGACGAATAAAGTACTAATGCCTAGAAATAATAGGCAATAAAAATATATAAAATTAATCCTCCTAAAAAGATTATTCTATAATAAATAGGCAATAGTTAAGGGAAATGCACCAACATCGAACAGAAACAAGGTTATTAGATAGAGTAATGCTACACTAACTAAAATATCTCAGAAAAACCAATAAGAACCACATGCTCAAGTTTCCATGTTCTCTACTGCTGAATATTACTGCTTCAAGTAAACTAAGGATGGTGATATGTTTTCTTCCTCAACAAGTAAGTTAGCACAAAAATAAGAACACTATGTTCAAAAGAACCTTTCCTGGTTCAGAAAGTTAATAACCTGCGTTTGTCACAAACGCTATTTATTAATGACTGGGGTTCGATTTCTCGGATGCGCAGTTTGAATTGTTCTTGTTTAAAAAAAATTTAAAATTACTAATTATCGGTGTTTGTCACAAACGTCATTTATTATTGACCGTGGTTCAATTCTTCGGATGCGTAGTTTGAATTGTTCTAGTAGTGCTTTAGGATGAAAATTTTGTGTATATAGTTGTATGTCCAATATATTATGTCTTTTTAAGTAATTATAATTTATTTTTTGGGAGTGTTTTTTCGTGGAACTTTTTGATAAAATGAATAATCACCCAAAACGTACGTTGCTTAAATTCTCTTGCAGCCCCCACTATTGCATGAACAGATAACTCTTACACAACAAATCAACTGCCTATCACCATGCAAACTATTAACGTACAATAAAAACAACGTCATTTGTGTTAAAATATCATTTCATGCAAAACGATGTTATTTTAATGACAATCAAGAGAAACCTATTTCTTTGCATTATATGAGAAAATAGAAGAATAATACTAAAATAGAAATGTTTCATTGATATCAAATCAACAATAACATAGTAGTAAGGAAAGCACACATAAACCTTAAATCATCCGGTTTGCCAAAAACAATAACAAATAACAGTATTAATCAAACATGGCCGAAACAAAAGCCAGTTTAAAATCCAAGTACTGATGCAGATAAATAGAAATATAAAGTCTCTCTCTCTCTCTCTCTCTTCCAAGAGCATACTCAATATATAGAGTCTTCACGGCAATGCTTCAAATTCTCTTCCTCTCTAGTCTTCATCACTATCCGGCGGCGGCGTTTTGTTCAAATCCCTGTCCCATGCAAGTCGACCTCTAGGCATTTCCTCTTCCTGTCCTGCGGTTGCAGCATCCTCCTCAGCCTCTCTTCCCTCCTCCGCAGCCTCTGCTACTGCTACTGCCGCAGCGGCAGGGTCATCTCCTCCTTGGGGGAGTAAGTCTTGAAACTCTTCGCGGTTGAACACCGGCGGTGGGTATGCCCCTTTCCAGCCACGGTCAGGATGACAACGCATGTGTCCAAACAATGCTTTGTTGGACTGAAATCTTTTCCCACACTCACTGCATTGGTGGGGGGGAGGTGGAGGATCATTCAAGTTTTGAAGTTCTTGTCTTTTGGCTACAGATTGTGAGCCTGAGCCTCCTTCCCCCACCGCAGGACCTCTCTTCCTCATTCCCATGCCACCCAGAATTAGCCTATCTTCCCCACCACCACCAGCACTGTCACCACCAGCCACCACCGCAGCCGCTCCTGCCGCTGGAAAAAAGCCCCCTACGCCTACTCTTCCAGCCGCAGTTCCACCCGAAGAAACTTGACCAGAAACATTGCCACCGGAAGATGATCCACGGCCATGTTGGGGAGGATTAAAGCCTGAAAACGGTGGTTGGAGACCATGGAAAGGCCAATACGGCACAATAGGTGGCCTGGGAGGATTGGGCTGGGGTCCTCCGGCTGCACCACCTCGGCGCTGCGGAGGGGGAGCAGGGGCATCCTGACGCCTGGGGCTAGGTGCACGACCCTGCCCGGGGGAGTTTCCTTGATCAGAACCACCAGCCCCATCGCCAGAGTTGGACATTGTCGTCGATGATGTAGAGCACGGGTTGCGACGTGGTGGGTTGGGTGGTTATTTATACTGGTGGGAAACTTTTGAAATGGCGGTTATGTTTCAGTGAACCGTTGTTTTCTAACAACGGACATGACTTATTCGAAAAGTGGTGTTTCTTCATCTAAGACCGTAGGTGGGGATATATGATGGGTATGGACGGTCCAGATGGGTTCATCTTTGACGGATTATGAAGCGGTGCACGGACGTTCTGCTGATGAGTAGTATAGAGTCGTGACATGTACCGTATCATGGAGGCAGGAAAATAACGGTTAAACCTTGATTATGGTTTGGTTATTCAAGTGACAAAAATGCCCCGTCATGACGACTGAAAATAGAAATTTACGCGACCAGGACCAAAAACATTTTAATTGCCACGTGACAGTTTCAAATAATGAGCACACCTGATTGATTACAGACTGCCACAACACTAATTTGTGGCACATACAAATTAATTTTTTTTTAAAATAATTAACAAATTGATAGGTAATACGTATTTATTACTAATGTATATTACCGGACATTGTCACGTAATGTGTTATACATATTGAAAAAAAAAAATTCATTCGATGAGTCACTTGGCGGCAATATGAACCTTTTTTTTTTTTTGTTGCACTTTTTCAAAAGTAATACTTCATTAATTAAAATATAATTTTATTAAGAACTTAATAATGGAACAGTATTAATTAAGAAAATTGTTGAAATTGTGAGGTCTGAACTATATCAATATGCTACTTGTATTCAAAATATTGACGTCATTTGTTGACTTCATCGATTATTGTCATTATGCGAAAACTTTTTCTTTTATTGGTATCTGATAAGTAGGTTATTAAATTGAGTCGAAAGCCTACCAATGCATATGGATTTCAATTCGAGTGAGAATTCAGATCGAGAAGATGATAACATGTTAATCGAAAACTCTATTGTTCTGAATAATGAGAAAAATATTTTAAAATTCAATCAAATTGATCGAATATCTCATCATCTGTTAAATGGGCCAATTGATTGATCGAATTTAGGGCTAGGCGTCCATGTCACAAAACCTTTCTCTATGAGCGTTTTAATTTAACTGTAGGCCCTAACATTTATTTGAACTCACTATCTATTTAATAGTTGTAATTAATAAAATCAACAAATGATATAAATATTTTAAGTCCAAATAGAATTACTCCGCCAAATTATGTTCAAACCAAGATATAAGTCTAGCAGTAGACGTGCATCCATGTTTATATTGTTGACTAAAGTTGGAATAATATGCAGGAAGGGCAGTACCCTACGAACTATGAATATTGATTTGCAGAGTTCTAATGATCAAATTTACTTTATATCCATCCGATCAGCATAAAAACACCCACCAACAATGGAATTGTCTCTATTTTTTACAAACCGATTTTCGAATTTGAACCCGTGATGTAAAACAAAGTCAAGATAAAATATTATAAGACCTTCCAACAATTTTAACTTGCTAGTACAATAATTGAATCATCGTCATTGTCACCACCATTACTTCCAAATGCTACAAAATTATCTGCTGAAATTTGTATTCAAATGTTTCTAGCAAATATTGTTCTATGCTTCTATGGCCTTTTCCTGTTCCCCTAAGGATCCCTATATTGAAAACTCTACAGGACTGGAAAATGAACCAACTTTCTCAGAGCTTTTGGATCAGAATTGTTTCAGGATTTGTGACATAAACAAGTCAACCTATCTCCCACTTTGGAGCAGCTCTATTTTTCTGTTTGATCTCTGAATGCCCAAACCTCGGTCCTAATTTTGCTGGAAGTTGCCAAAGAGGATTGCTCCTGGCCCAGGGATAACGAGAGAGAGAGAGAGAGAGAGAGAGAGAGAGAGAATACTTGACGTGCATTGAGCAAGCAACTATTTTTCTATTTGACCACGTGGACACAGTTTATCCATAGTTAAGTCAAAGACTGCTTCTACAATGAAATTTATTGCCCACTCTGGCCTCGTGAGGCTGGCCCCTGTGGTTGCGAGCTGGAGCTGCCATAGGTTATGGCTAGAGCAATGGGAAGGGGGGGCCGGCAGAGGAAAAAAGAAAGAATACTGAGTGCTCCGCCCACCAAGCAGGCAGCAGGAGCTGGAGCAGCAAGCCAGTACTTGGTAGGCCAACAGCCCAGTGAACCGGGAAAGATGAATCATCTGGAGCACGAAGATCTTGTTGCTATGGTGATGAACAAAATGAGTTGTTTGTTTAATGCAAAACCGTGCAGCGTTGTAGTAGCAGCTATCTTTGGATAACAGAGGGCGAAAAACAACAATGCCTAACCACATCCATAAATTGAAATACAATGCCATTTGCACTGAACAGAATACAAAATTATAAAGGAAGATGAAAATCTCACAGCAACATTACAATAAAACCGTTGCATTTGACCAAGAGATCCAGCCGATAAAAAAGGGACCAAAAAGCCCTAGCAAGTTGAACTAGTTCGCGATATTCATCCAGTACACCATGAATTTTCCTTGCTGAGCAATGCAAGAAAAAAAAGGGGTACACTTAACATTATAATAGACAGGAAAAACTATTGTATGTCATGCAAATGATTTACGATACAGATTGTGATAGCGTATGTACAAGGCACTCAAATATCTTCCTTTTATTTGTTCTTGAACCGGGGAAATCAAAGTCCAAACAACCATTATCCACCCCCAGGGTTCCCCAAAAGCCGCTCCACAGCAGCATGAACATTCCCTGCAGTGGCAATCAGAGCCCGTATATTTTCCTGAGTGTCAAAGAACCCCATTTCTTGTAGCTGTGAGAGCTGAGTAGCATACTGTTCTTCCGGGGGCACTGCAGTACAATGTAAATCAGGTAAATGAGTTGTTGGACAAAAAATACGCTGCGAAGTAAATAAGATAAATGAGTTGATGGAAGAAAAATGAGCAAATAAAATAAAAGATGAAGGAGAGAATAGTAACCATTAGATCTGTTGGGAACAGTCAGGCCTCCAGTACCAAGTCCACCAAACATGTTCATCAACATATCCAACCCTGTGTTATCAAGTGCTCCTGTTATCATAAAACATTGGCACTCTTCTGTTAGATAATGTTGTGTGGCTGGGTGGGTTTGTTTGTTTATTTGTTTTTTGTTTTTTTTTTTTTTTTTTTTGGGGGCGGGGGAGGATCATGTGTAGTTTTATTCGGCCGTTCCCTGAATTATTTAGGGACTTTCTAATTTCTTTAAAGGAAGTGGGCATTTTTGTACGTGTTCTCTTTTTGAGGGGTGGGGTGTGTGGTTCAATTCATGAGTTATTCATATATCTTTTTTGTGATAGAAAACAGAAAACTAATATTACTAAAAATCGAATCGTATATCAAATGGTTTTATACAACCAATAAAAAGAAAAGCATAACCATTTCCGTAAGTTGAATTTAGCACAAGTTACCGACAGTCATCAAAACTTTAAGAAGATCCACTTAAGAACTTCAACAAAAAAATTGCTTTATATCAATGATTTAAAATACGATAATCTTGCAATTTTTTTTGGGTGAAATATGCTATACTCGTAGAACTTAGGACTCAGAAAAGGGTGGTGGTAAAGTGAGATAATTATCATCAATAATGAGGCCCTCCATACAAAATAACAACTCACTAGTAAAATAGAAAATTATACTAAGCCTGTTCATTACAGGTACCTTAGATGAGGGCAATAGATAAACATCCTGAACTTACTATGAAAGACTAAGCAGTTAACAAAAGTTATGCAAAAGAAAAAAAGGAAACAGGTTTTGGAGTTTCAGACATAAAACGAGATACCTGTCCCTGCACCAGTTTGACCTGGTTCCCTGCAAGAGCACAACAATTTGTTAGCGAACTAAAAACAATTACAGGGGATAACAACTAATCAACAAATACAATATGAGAAATACATTATAATAATCCAGATGAAACTACCACAATTCCAAGCAATCTGCCTAATTATTCTGATTGTGTCAAAACTTGCTAATAGAAATATAGAATGATCCACGTTTACATTGATAACGCTATCAAATTTGGACAACTTCACAGGGTTTCTTTAACCAGACATGAGTAAATGGAAAGGCAGGTCCTAACTTACTGGGCTGATGGTTGCCGACCAAGTCGAGACATAAGAGCTTGCTGAAAAGTCAAGAGTTGCTGAAACATGGAAATGAATAAAGAGTAAAAATAGAGCAGAATGAAGACACAGGTAGACACAACTTAACATAAATCGAAAGCAATTGGTAAGTTAGTACACAAGTGAGCAGGCACATGCCTACTTTTGTGTGGCATCTTTGTTCAAAAACTTAGCAAAAATCAACCCCCCACCGCCACCCCCCCACCCCCAAAAAAAAAAGGGTATTCTCCCATCTCCCTTTCCGCATTTTGGATTTTATGATACTTCAGTTCTCATTATACTATCCGCACTGCAGATTTTAAGGATGTATGCCAGGAATTTCAAACAACTCAAAGAGGTTAGGGGTGTTATACACCTTCAAAATAAAGCCAACAAACACCATTGTGAACAAATTAACATATCTAACCATAACAAGTAAAGTGGAGAATCTGGAGATACTGGATCGCATGTAATCACATACAGGTTTTCATCAGAATGTGTGAGAAAACAAGGGGTGGTGGAGGGAGAAAGAAAGGCAAGTCACACTGCTGTTGCAGGGTTCAAGAGTGATGTTGAAAAGGTCTTCTGGTCAGAATACCTATTGGTATTTTTCACCTCTTATTCCACATTTTTTGGTATATCATTTCCTTCAGCCAAGCACATGCATGGGAGCAGAGATCCCCCCCCCCCCTTTTTTTCTTTCTCTTCTCTTGTGATAGAGGATGAGCCAGAGAACTCCAGCAGAAGATTTGAATCCAGACCTTGCACCGAAGTGGTCCAAAAATAGCCAGACTTCAAAAACAGCGGTAATAAGTTGAGAAACTAGTGCCAAACGGCAACTGAGGTTTCATGCAGCCAACGACAGCTAGTTGGAAAACAGCCTTCTTGAGGTGAAGTCAATAAATTAGTGCATGGGTTTGCCACTACCGTGAAGCTTATTATGTGGATTGTGGAAACTTTACAGATACATATCAGATTCCAAACACTCATTGAGAGCCTAAAATGCAATTTAGCCATAGGGAGATAGTATAAGCCATCCCATCATTCCACTGGACTCTCACTACAGCATATTATCCAACAAGTGCAGCATGTCTGGAGTTTCTTTATTTATTTTTTTAATATGTTCTGTGGGTGCCTATTAAAAGACAGATGCAAGCACGTGTGCACACACACACACAGATCTTCTAAACAATGTACCTGTATTGTCTCGGGGGATGTCAGTTGCCGAACAAATTCAGGGTTTTGCAGCATCTCTCTAAGCTGGGAATTGGAATCAAGCATGTTCCAAAGTTGCGGATTGAGACCAAAAACCTAAAAATCGATACAAATAGAGAATAAGAAACCTGAAAATCAATTGTAACTTTTCTAGTAGGACCAGAGGCGGCCCAAGATTATTAGTGACCTAAAACGGCAACTAAAAGTGAGGCTTTCTATTTTAAAATTTTATGTTTTGAGCAGAGAGAGACAGAGAGAGAGAATGGGTAAAAATGAGTGATGTGTTTTGGTTGACCGGTTTGAATTTTTGTTAACCCTTAGCGTTTGCTTTTTTTTTTTTTCTAAAAAATTTGTTTTGGTGTATTTTTAATATTATGGGTTGGGTTAATGAGCCCAAACTACTCAAATTTATTGTTGTTTGGGTTTAAATTTTATAGAGCTTTTTTGGGAGACTAAAATCTTATTGATCTAAATTTTTTTTGATTTGCACTAACTATGCACTTAGAAATTTTGGGGCCTAAAGCCCAGGGCCTTGGGCCGGCCTGAAAATGACAAACTAAAGTAAAACCTGGTTCATGTGTTGAGGGTTGGAGAGGAGACTTTGCAACATCTCTGGTACAGCAGGATTCTGCATAATCTGATTCAATGAAGAGGGATCGGGCATGGCACCTAGCATTTGGTCCAAATTTGAGAAGCCAGGTCCACCTAAGCCACCAGGTGGCACTGGCCTAGCATCACCAGCAGGATTTGACCTTGTAGTGGTGTTTGTTTGGGCACCTCCAGCTGCCAGATATTCAATATGAGTTACCAATTCACTAGTACCAACTAGGAAATTTTGAATATAAAGCATTTTAAACAACAAACAAGTTATTCCAAATTTAATATCAAAGAATTCTTAAGCCTCATTGGCATTAAGACGAAGAATAAAAAATAAATCTAAGCCAGTTCTGGTGCACAGATAACTGCAGCCAGTTCAAACAAAGTAGGCATAATCCAATTTTGAGGCAGTTTCACAAAAATTTCTAGCGAGTTAAGAGGAAGTTCGATCAAAAATCAATGAATATTACAAACATTGTATTGGGTACGTATACATATAAATTTTGGGGATCATACCAGTCAAATATCTTGCTGACTCAAATAATAAGCATTAAGCATACTGGAATTTCATCCATGAGTTCAGCGGCTAAGGGATCTCAAATTTCCAGAAAAGTGACCAAAATTTCTATTCAACTTCACACAATTATAAGTTTAAACTTCTACAGTGCATCAAATACAAAATAACTGATCAGAAGACCAAAGAAGATGAATAAAAATCTGCAATAGGTTCAGAGTCAGTGGCAGAAATGTTCTAAAGAAGTAAAAGAGCAAAGAGATGGTGCAAGCTTACCAGCAGCAGAGGACCAAGGGTTCGGAAGTGGATTAGTATTTGGAGCAGGAGAATTAGCAGATATTTCAGAACCATTGGTCGTAGGATTAGTCGTCTGATTTCTTCCTGCCCCCTCACCTTGGACTCCCAAAAGAGCTGCAAATGGGTTTGAGGCTAAATCATTCCTAGTGTCCCCAGCCATCGTAGTTGCATTTAGAAACGGCTCTTGGACATTTTCATACATGCGCCTGAGCATGTTAAATCCTTCAGGAGAAGATTCAATATTGCTCATAGCTCTGTCAGTGTTGCGCATCATCTCACGCATGAGTTCAGGGTTTCGTGCAGCCTCCATTGTCTGACGGAGAGTATTAGGATCATTGAGAATGTGCGCCAGCTCCGGATTGCGATCAATAATTTCACGCATCTGAGGATTATTCATCATCAAGTTTCGCATAATGTCTGGGTTATTCATAAGATTCTGAACAATCGGCAAGTTCAAAATATCCCTCATCATGTTGGGGTTCTGTGTCAACTGTTGCTGCACTTGTTCAAACTCCGGAAGTCCAGCTCCAAATAGGCCACCACCACTTCCTAATCCATTCAAACCAAGACCAGGAAATAGTGATGCTCCAAAGTTGGATCCGTCATATGCCCCACCTTCATTGGATCCAACATCTCTTGTTACAGTAGAAGTGGTATTTGGAGTGCCAGTGTTGGTGGCACCTGTAACGTTTGCAGATGCAGCAGGTGCAAAACCACGAACCAAATGAACAGTATGGTCTGCCTCCAAACCTATGAATTGTAGACAGAGTAAAAAATGAAAAATAGGTGCAAGTACAAAATTTTGAAGGTCTGCTGTGGGGCTGTTTACCTAATGTTAGTTCTCTACACATTCCAAGATTTATGCACAAATGGATAAAGTAGAAACACTTAACTCTCCATACATTAATGTAGAACAATTGGATGCCTAAAAGAATCAGAAACGGAAGAGAGCGAAGATACTAAAAACATAAGAGAATGATGCTGGTGAAGCCCAAAAGAGTCTCCACCATCTAAATAGCCCGTAGGAGCACGCTGCTTCACGAAAAAAATCTTTTAACCATCTTATTCCCAAGTCGATGTTGTTCTTTCTAGGAAGAAAGGTACATGATCGCCAACGTGTTAATAAACAGCTTGAATCCAATACAGAAAGTCGTTCTCTATCAAAATCGTTACAGATGTAGAAGACATTGCCACATTTTTTTTCTGGAATCAACGCTTAAATCTTATCCTGATATTATCTAAGAGTGTTAAACGATGTGTGTTTGATTTGTTTGTGTGTGTGTGTGTGTGTGTGTGTGAGAGAGAGAGAGAGAGAGGCTCCTCATCCTAAGATGATGGCAAAAAAATGGCCAGATAACCATTTAATAATTATATGAATTTGCTCGTTCCAACCCGGTCTGCCACATGTAAGGAGGGGCATAATATGGAACATTATCTATTGGCATTAATTTTTCTCAGGGTTAGTCGACCTTTCCTGAATCTGCTTTCTATTTGCCAGGGACAACTGGAGTATGGACACATCGAAGAAGGATATTAAGCATAGTGCCCGTTGCTACTGCTTTTTTCCAGAGTCTGTTCAACTAAACAATTAGAAAAACGATTGAACACGTCAACTTCCAATATTTCAGTTGACAAGATGGAGAAAAGTCTTTTTCTTCATGAATCTTTTAATGACCCTGATATAAGTTGCTCTTTCACGAGTTCTTTCAATTCCGCAAATATGTAATTTATCCACATATTGTTCTGTTTTCTTTACCTTGCATTCTATGTTTCTCAACTGAAACTTAGTTTGCTTCCTAAGGACAAGTCTTAGCGAAATTTGGAACTGCAGCCGAGAGTAAAATGCTGAAAAAACACATTAATTGCTCAAGCAAATGAATTTACCGTAGGATATATAAACTATAAACCTAAATCTCTCAGTCAATTCAAGCCTTTCTCATCCTTTTGTACCATAAAGAACAAACTCATGATAAACTGATGTTCAATTCCCTTTAAACAAGCTCTCCACGTATAAGCAACCAATCCTAATTCTCTAACGATACAAAAGTAAACCGATCAACAAGTCATACATAAATCACAACATAAAGATCGATCCCAAAACAGACACAACAGACAAATTCAAGTAAAAACTTAAATATATTTTTGCACTATTATCGAATCACATGGAGAAAACTTAACGTTACACAAATACAGAAGGATTTCATTAGATACCGTAGCTTTCCAGTGTTTGATCGTCCTTCAAGATCCTGCCTTTGTAAATCAGTCGCTGCTGTTCCACAGGTATTTCGCAGTTCTGAGAGAGGACGGACTTAAACGATCCGACGGTGGACTCGAGAATTGCCTGTATGGTGAACTTCGAACCGTTGGAGCATCGGACGTTGATGGTGACTCCATCACCGCCGGCGTTGCTGTTCGATTCGCTTCCGTCGTTGGCCACAACACCATCACC